TTGCAGGGATTACAGGAATGCACCATCATGCCCAGCTGGGATATATATATATATATATATATATATATATATATATATATATATATATATATTAGATCAGGGATCCTAAAGAAAATGAGAAGGTAGGTGATGATCATGATCATGCCAAAATAAAGCAGCATGCAAATGAAGGAACTCCATGGAAAAGAGTCTGAACAAATAGCAAAGTCTGCTGAATTTTTTTCTAGTTTCTGGGTTCCAGCACACACAAGTAAAAACTCTGAGTTACTCCATTCAGTAAAGTAGGTCTCTGGCGAACATGAGCCTTATTCTGAAGATCTGGGACAAAACATCCGCTATGTTCCTAAATAAATATTGTATTGAAGTGTTATCGCTTGTACCCTTTATTACCATCTGTGTGTGCTTTGAGTTAATACATTTTAAGCACTACGAAAAACAAGGCTCCATGATTATGCTGCCTGGATATTTCTGTCACAACCTAGTGCCCTGGGAATGTGTTGCTTGATGGCCAATTAATGTTTTTTAAAATAAAGTTAAGGAGTTGTCCTAATTTTGTTTTCTATTCCAGATGAAGTCAGATGCCTTGGGAACCACGACTCCCGTAGGGGTGGATAGACTGGAATCTAGTTGCTACAGTTAGCTAATGGGTCACTTTCCTTCTCTAGAAAATGTGAATATGATTAATATTTGGGTAAAATGTTTGCAATGAGAATTAGATTAAACATGATTTGTAAAGCTTTTGCATAGTGCCTAATGTATTGTGAGCATTCTATGATGGTAAATGCTGTTGTGGCTACTGTTATTAATTAGGTATTTCATTAGTTTTCATTTTAAGTCCTACAAAGCTTTCCCTGTTTTGAAAAATAGCTTTGTCATTCTGCCTTCTAATTTTGATTGCCTCTAAATCATACTGCTTCTTTTTATGCACCATTCTTTCATAACATGGTTTAAAAAATTGATCTCCTAAAGCAAAGTGATCAGGTACAATTTCCACTAGTCACTTAGTCAATCAGTGGCAAACCTATGGCCAATTTGATCCTTTGAAAGCAGAAATCAAATGTAGTCTGATTCACAAGTTTTAAGCAGTAGGCAGGTCCCTGGCTTTGAAAGTGTTATTCCTATTTGATGTTTGACCAAAGGCTGTATATAAAATGTTCAAAATAACCATAAGGCTGATGTTGTATCAAAAATCCTATTGTATGCATTTATTCTAACATGAAAAAAAAATCTCATTTGAGTGATGCCTTAGATGTGTAAGCAATTTGCCCAAGGACATGCTACTGCTGGTGGTGAGATTTGAATTCTGCCAGTCTGAATCCTAGAACTGGTCCTAGCAGCCTCCAAGATTGATTGCCTCATAGGAAGAAAATTGTTAACAGGTGAGGAGGTATGACAAAATCATTTGTGGATTATGTGGAAGACAGCTAGAAAAGGTTTGAGTTTGACCTGAATAATTCTGTAACTTTTATCCTGACTCACTCTGAGCTACTTTGAAATCAAAAGACTTTTACACTAAACACCAACCAAGAGGCATTTAAAAAAATAATTCCTGTTACTATGTCTTTGAAATATTCATAATAGTATATCTTCCTGTCCTCTATGATGCTTTCCTTATGTAGAAGCTTGGCTGTTGTGAATTCAGAATATTATATAACATCTGCAATTCTCTACTGACTTACCACCTCTGATCAGATGGGCTAGGAATTCACGTTAATTTATTTGAATGGAGAAGAGAAAGGACAGGTATATATCCATTTGATTTGCACTTTTGGTAATAATTTGGTGAATCTTTTTTGTAATGAATCCAAACAGTAAACACTAGTGTATTTTATTTTAACTATTTTTTCTGCCTAGTTCTGGTCAAGTATTCACTCAACTTTTATATGCATTTCCTCTTTAGAGCCAAAATTAATTCAGAAATCACAACAGCAATGGTTATTCTGTAAACATTACTAGCTACCTGAAAAACACAATATCCTAGAATCAACATGGCACCTAAGTGAAAGAGAACTTGCACATGACTCCCAGAACACAAATCAAGACAAAGTAGTCACCCCAAGGGATGTAGGAAAAGGAAGACAAATGTGGTTAAGAACCATGTAAATAACACTGATCTGGGAAGAAAATGGTTATATAGAATATATACATATACAAATACACACAATATCAGGTATCTTATACACAGAGACAAAAAGAAATATTCAAGCTTTTCAACTTGTTCCATAAGTACTTATTCAATTCATTTTTTCAAAACTTAAATTTAAAATATACCGAAGATGCTGTGTCACTTACCATATCGTGGTCTGAAACGGGTCCGAAACTGGTAACGAAGATGTCAGTCTTCACTTCAGTTACACGCTCTGATGAAGCAGGAAATTGGGCCAGTGAGTGTCTATCAACAGCTCTTATTAGATCTCACCACCACATACTCACACCCAAATGGGAAATTTATTGGCTTTGATTAGCTATTTCTAAAATTGGTCCACTGTGTAGTCCTGATAATTTACTGCTTACACATGAAATTTCACAGTTAATATTTTCAATGGAGAATAGAGTCTAAATATGCCACGTTGGGAAGCAGACTTTATGGAGAACTCAGCTGCTTCCTAATGACTTCTTCAGGAATGGACAAAGGTGCCTAAATAATACTAAACCACTTCTTATTCCATTAGCATAGGAGTATGCCATAAGTTTAAATATTGTTACACAGCTAGACAGATCCTGCAGGTATGTAGGCTACTCTTGGGAAGTATATACTATGTTATGGCAAGCTTTATTAACTCTTTAAGATCTCAAGAGAATGTTTTATAAATGATTGCTTTCTTGCACTAAATCTTAACCAAATTATCTGAATTCCTCCCTGGGAAAAATATGACAACCTATGTAAATATTTTCAATTTTGAGGATAAGTAGAACATATTATGGCATAGAAAAAATTCATTTAACTCATTTCATGTTCAATGTAATTTTATTATATGGGCCTCTGATGGCATATATATCAACCAATAAAACATATTTATTGTAGTTCTCTGACAAACTCAACACAAACACTTCCAAAGAAATACAGTCACTTATCAAGAAATTGAAAAAAAAATGTTGCTTGCAGAAAAAGAAACAATTTGTTGAGGGGTGAGAATGAGAAATATGACTCTGTAATTTTCACCTTAGCTCTGAGAAATAACAGTCTACTGTCTTAAACAGTTGATTTGTCAGTATCTTTGTATCTCTGGCATAGAACATTAAAAACATTATCCTTTAAGTGCAAAAATAAATTCCCTTGAAAATTAAAAGAGCCTGTTTCCTTCAACTCACTTGTGAAAAGTTAAGACTTTTAGCATAAATTCCTAGCAAAGAGGTCATGTCATATGCTACACAGTATGCATATCTCAATTGATCAAACTTTTTTGGAGTTGGAGATATTCCCTTTAATAACGAATCTAATGTTTTTTTGTTGTTGTTTTCTGCAAAAACTTTCACAGGCTCCAAAATGTTCAAATAAGCCCCTTGACACAGAAATTATCTGGGATTTACCCTTTAAACAATTCAAAGACATAGCTTATGACAAAGAAAGTAGAGTTGTCTATTTAGAGCTCACTTCCAACCTTAATATCAACATGCTGCAGTAACTCAGCATGGATTGAGAGACACAGTTGTCACAGTGAGTCTCAGTTCTCTCACCCTCTGTCCACAGTAAGGTCCTTGCTCTTGTGCCCTCAAGCATTTCCCCAATAGATATCTCTCTCTCAGTATGGATGCCTCTTTCAATATTACACTCTTGCTCTCTACATATTTTTTTACTAGACTAACACATTTACCTAGTTAAAACATCTTTATTTCTTAAGACTTCATCAAGAGCTCACATTGTATTAGAATATCAGAAACACTTTTCAATTAAAAAAAAAAGAAAATCTATGCCACCTATTCATAAAAGCTAGAATATATCATATTAAATAAACTCATTTTCCCTTTTATCTTTCAGCATTTTCATTTGTAGATCAAGTAAAAGAGCCATCACTAGAATTTTCTTTGATATAATAAGATACACATTTATTGGTATGAAAAAGAACAGAAACATGACAAGAAATAATGATGTGGGCATATTTTCATGCTAAATTATTTTGTACCAAATCTTCCCCTTATTGGAAATAAGTTTGTTTCTCATCATTCATAGATCAACTTCCTGAAATTAAATACTTCTGAAACAGACCAAGGGGAGAATTAATATCAAAATTATCCCCTGACCTTGATATGATCAAATGTTCCTGTTTTACTATTTTTATAATTAGTTGACTCAACCTCACTTTGCTTCCAAGGTTTAGTTTTTGTTTTTTCCTGATTATGAAACATAAGATTAATAGTAAATATCCTATGGGACTTAGTAACATGGATGTAATCAAAATTTTGTCCATTCTTTTCATTTTATTTTTTTATTTGAGATGCATGCTCATTTAAAAGATACCTATTGATCCCATCTTCAAACTTATACATGCATGGTTGCCTGAGGCATCTCTCTTGGAAAACTTCATCATTCTATTTCTTGCCTGTGGGAAAGCACAGTTCTACATTATAAAGAAATACCTTGGGATAGCTAGTTTTAAAAAATTGGCCCACCAGGTGTTTTAGAGCAACTCTTTTGTATTATTTTGCATGAAAAAGTGCCCTGAAGAAGTGAAGTGTCCGTTTAACAAATGTATGGGTCATTTTCCCTCTATTGTTTTTAGATTGTTAATAGATGACCACGCTACAAAAGCAGCAAATTAAAAGCCTATTTATAAAGATTATTGAACCAAACAGGACATGGAACATGGTTAAGTTTAGAAACATTTATTGCCATGCATAATTGTTACTATGCCATACAGAGATTAGGCATAAATGGAAAGCAATTTACATAAATGACTATAACTTCACTTTTAATTCTTTTATTTTTTCATCTTTTATCTATTCTTGGCCCTAAACTTATTTACCATACTGGTTCACTGCCTTCAGATACTTCATCTTATTTCATACCAGCCACTTGCATCTGAGACATTCCAAAACACACCTTTACAATATTCCAAGGCAAAGACTCTGACCCAGAGCCCCTATATCACAAGTCTCCGAAATGACCTTGTCACCGAGGACTTTAATCACAGATGCATTCTTGTTCTGTATGTTTTTCTCTTTCTCTTCCAAACATTAAGAAACATTCCATGTCAGAGAACTTAAGGATGTATGTGAGGGACTGCAGTGACCAGTCAATGACTAAATGGGAGGGGTGAGGGAGGGCAGAAGAGGGGTAAAAACAGAGTGAAACAAGGCTCTGCATGCCTCTCTGTTCCTGCAGGGCCAGGATAACTACAGGAAGAGAGCAACCACTTTCCTCGCTCTCCCTTCTAATGTACTTCCCTTGTTACATACCCAAACAATTTTCTTTGATTTTTTGTATCAGCTGTTACAGTGAATGCCCACTGGAACAAGTTTCCATAAGAGGAAAACTCTGCTTATTGCCTATTTCCTGTGGAGGATTCAACATTAACATCTTAATGTTTCTAAGAAATTATGTTTTAAGAAAATATAGTCAGTTTTTTTTTTTTTTTCTGTTTCCCCAAGTGACTGGGGAATGCTACTTTAAAATGTTACCAAAGCTTTAGAGTAAATTGGAGGACAATATAATACATCATGGTTTTGGTAAAAAACAAAACAAACAAACAAAAAAGTCATAGTGTAAGTTTAGAAAACTCAGATGTGAGAAAAAAAAATCCCTGGATAAATAAGTAAATAATAAATAAATAAATTCACGCTTTATTCAAATCTATACTTCATGATTTTTCTCAAACCACATTCTCTCTCAGATCAATATAATTTCATTGACAAGGGATAGTTCCGGCCAAAATAAATCTTTCCCTGTAACGCACCAGGAACTCCCTGAGTGCTCTGTGAGGTCATCCTGCTTTAAGACAGGAGGTTTACAATCCCAAGTGCAAATGTTCGAGAGAGTATTATGAATGAATTTCAGCAAAATTGCAAATAGCAGCGGCATGGGTAACTTCCCTTCTTGGTAAAGAAATGGTGGCTTCAAATTAAGACCTTGTTAGGCCCAGGACCAGTTCTAAAAGGAGAATATTCTCATATTATATGCTATAGTTGAGATGTACGGAAATTTTTGAGGAATCTTCCTTTTCTCGAGGGCTGGGAAAGTTTACTGCTCTCCATGAGCTATCTTCAAGATTCCCACAGAATATCTATTATCTAACACCTATCATTATCTCCATCTCTTAACGAACATTAGAATCTAAATCATGTTTTCTTAATACCAAGAATTGTTTGACTTAGCACCAGACTCTAAAGTGTTATTAGATATACCTGGAAGGTACACAAGACCTTTCTGTAGATTACATGGTGAAAAGTCAACATGTTTTTGTGCTTCTATGTATTCTCTTTAAGAGCATACAACATGAGTCAGGAAAGTCAAATGAAAATTAGGTAAAATAATTATAGACATAGCCAAATCTATATATGACTGAACTCCTTATGTGACTAGGAAACTCTTTAAAAATTGATATCAAGTAAAATAAAAACAAATAACTTATCAAAGAATTTTTTCAATGATATTTTCTTTATGCTAATCTTTCCATGTCCAGCATAAATGAAAGATGACAGATAAGTATAAATGTACATATATGTTCAAGTTGTCAAGGGGAAAATATGGAAAAGAGTTATACAAAATAGGATCATGAAATTATGATATGATGAGTGCTATTAAAATTGTTGGAAATAGTTCAAAATAATAAATGTGTAAAGTGTCTGATGATAAATCAATCATATTCAGTCCTTAAACAACCACACCCATTCATTCAATGCTATGTTTCTTATGTACAGATACATACAAGCATATGTATAAACATGCTCAAGTGCTATATTATATATTCTAACTACTAGACAGCAGAACTGTTTTTACTAGGAATTTCCTACAATGTTGATATCCTGTTGATAAGTATTGAAATAACAGATGTTTTGAAGTGATAATTCAGAAAGATGATTAGTATCAGAGGTATAAATGAGAAAAGCAGTATATTAAAGTAAGTAGTAAGCACATTGGATTAAGATTCTAAGTGCTCAGGTTTTAACTCTGATTTCCCTTGAGAACAAGCTGCATGATTTTTAGGTACAATCCTGTAATCTCTCCGAATCTATTTTCTCATTCTTTGAATATCGAAATACCTATACAGTTGAATACATAGTTTTGGTGTGAAGGTTGAATAAAATTGCAATGCCAAAAACACTTTGAGAAGCATTTGTTGGGTGTGTTAATTTAGTCAATGAATGTTTATTTAGCATTTTCTGGGTCCCAGCTAGGCACAATGCTAAGTCACAGTGATAT